CAAATGTACAAATAACAAGTTATTTAAAGCTTACATAGAATTTGAGCTACAGCTTCCGAGTATTTGACAGATGCTGGAAACTTTATGAAAAGTTCCTGGAATTTAGACCTGAAAATTGTACCTCATAGATTAAATTTGCAGAGTTAGAGACAGTCCTTGACGATGTTGAGAGAGCCCAGGCAATGTACGAATTAGCCATCAGTCAGCCCCGCTTAGACACGCCAGAGGTGAGCAATCTCAAGTTGAATATAATTTTGTTTTAGACACATGTCTAGTATTGCTTCAGACAACCATCTAAATGTTTGTGTATTTCATTTTAAAGATGATCTAACAACTAGGGGATTGGGGGAGCAGCCCTCTAGTTAAATGTAAATACGAGGGCACAGTAGACATCCAGGATGAATTGGGCTATAATGGGGTTTGTTAATTGACTCTCTTCCTCCCTTTTTCAAACAGGGAAGGCTAAAGGGGATGGGCACGAGGCCAGGCAAGGAAACAGCCAGCAGGCATCCCCATGTGGAGAACAAGGGAGATGGAGGTGGGAACTGCCCATCCCCATATTCTTTTAGAACAGTTTTGCCTGGATTGAGCCAACAAAATAGGCACCCACATTGCCACTGTCCTGGAAGTCCTGGCCTGCCTTCAGTAGTTAAGGTTGAGCCACAAGGTGGCGCCAAACCACAGTTAGGACTTGACTTGAATCTCACAGGAGCCACGGAACTTATTAATCCTGCGCTAACATGGCCCTGCATCCTGGGCCCCACTGAGCACATGAGGGCAGAGCTTTATGTGTCACTGGTTCCATCAGTTGGCCTCAGCTTCTCGGCTCCAGATGCTGCTCAAAGGTGTTCAGGCCACAGCTTATTCCTCTCATGCCCTGCCAGTCTGCCCAAGCAGGTTGGCAGGTATTCAGTGGACGCTTGTTGAGTTGAACTCATACGGTAACAAGGAGTGTACAGTGGAGGTAAGAACGTACATACTCGTTCTCTGGGCCTGTTTTCTCCCAGAACTTTAACTGCAGGTGGCAGGATCATGAAAGAGTATCTGGGAGACTCTTGGCAAGTTTCTCAGCTCTTCTTGATAAGACAAACGTTTGAAAAACTCCAAAAGAGAATCCAAAACTCAATCCAAGGCCCTTTTCCCTAGAATTCTAGTCAAGTTTTGGCCAGCTTATAAACACCAATATCATTTATGTTATCCACATGCAGTCTGTTTAGCTGATCAGTGAAAGTCCTACATTCCCACGGGTGAATTGGAATGACAGTTAAGCTGTGCTTTGGATGGGGGCTTGTTGCTTTCTAAATGTCATGACTGACCTTTTGTTACCTTTCTTAGGTGCTTTGGAAATCATATTGATTTTGAAATTGAGCAGGAAGAAACAATACGAAATCTTTACTGACGATTGCTTCCATGGACACAACATGTCAAGGTATCCTGTGCTTTGTAGATGATCTTTGGTTTTTGCTTGAATCAGCTGTCCTAAAGAAAATACTGTTATTTCTCTGAAGTGTTTGTTTTTTTTAAAGTTACTTCATTAGTTCTAAAAAGAACCCGTGAGTCTCAGAGGACTTTGAAATGTTAAGTTTATACCACATCTGTGTTTATAATGCATGTGAATAACTTGGATTTCACAGGATTGAAAAAAAAAAAACTCTTTTCAGGATTTTAAGACTATGTCAGATACATAATTGGATGTAGAGAAACAGATTTCTTCAGTATTTATATTGAAGCATATATTCAATATGTTGTAATCTGTAGATAGTAGAGATGAACATTACTATTACTACATTATCGTCTTCTGGGTAACATGGATTTGGTTCCATATAATTTTTTTTTAAGGTATGGATGAGTTTTGCTCATTCTGAGTTGTCTTCAGGGAAAGAAGGAAGTTTGGCTAAATGCAGACAAATTTATGAAGAGGCTAACAACCATGCGAAACTGTGAAGAAAAGGGAAACTTATACTGCTGGAATCTTGGCGAAGCTTTGAAGATGAATTTGGGACAGTATCAGATAAGGAGAGAGTAGAAAAACTCATGCCAGAGAAAGTCAAGAAGAGAGGAAAGGTCCAGGCTGATGATGGAGTGAGAGCTTCGCCCTGGAGATGTTCCTGTCACATCAAATGAGTAGATGCACATGTCGCTTTGAAAGTTGTACTTTTAAATGGCATATGAACAACCTTAGAATGGGAGCAGACAGCCTGGAGTAGGAGACATTGCAGTCTGGCTATTGTGGAAACACAGGGCAGTGTATGGTCCAGCCAGGGGTAGAGAATGGGAGGGGGTTGGCAAAGGCTTCTTGGTGGTGATTCAGTTTAGGAACTGTGTGAAGTATTATATTTCTAGAGCATTAAGCAGGAAGTCAGTATAGAAGGAAATGAAGCTCAGGTTTCAGATAGGAGCCAGTCCAGAGAGGCTTTGTGGGCTATAGAAGGAGTTTGGTAGGAGTCAGTGGGGGCCTTTATGTGTAAGATGACATGACCAGATTGCTGGCATCTTATACAGGCAGACTGAAAGGTTTTAGATTGGAGGAAGAAGACCTGTCAGGAGGCTGTTTTTGTAAGCTAAGCAAGTGATGGTGGAAACTGGAATTAGAGTAGGGCCTGTTCGAACAATATTTGGGGAGTGAAATCAGTTTTCAGATGGAGGTAAGGATGTGAGGGCAGGGAGTCAGAATAATAATGCACAGGTGTGTGGCTTTTGCTACTGGCTAAATAATAATTAGAAATCTTTAAAAATTGTAAATCTTCAGCATAAGATATATATATATGAATAGAGGAGCTATGCTTAGATTTCTAGAATTTTTTTCCACCAGGTTTTCAGTTCTCAGTGAGCTGCAATTGTGGCAGCACCAGTCCAACAGTTCCTTATTCATTCCCAGTCTTTCAGGCTCAGCCCTTGATCATTCTGTAGTAGACTTTGATGTTGTTTTGTAAAATGTAGAGAAGTTGAATTTGAACTTCAGGTTTCCAAGTAAAAATTTCAGCCATGTTTGCATATCTTTCATTTCTGCAGTCCGATACAGGCTGGGAAGAATACTTTGATTACATCTTTCCAGATACTGCTGCCACCCAACCTAACCTCAGGCTCCTGGCCGTGGCCAAACTTTGGAGGAAACAGCAAGGAAAAGGAAGATGCTGAGCAAGATCCAGATAAGGACATCAATGATAGTGAATCCTGATGTTTTTTTATATTTATAAGTGACTTATTATTTTTATAAATTAATATTTTGGAACTCAACTCCTGGAAGTTTTTATATATTTCACCAGTAAAGAATTGATCAGAATCTTTGACAGCTACTTTGTGAATTACTTTTTAAATGCTCTTGGGTTAGGTAGGGGTGGGAGAATGTAAGTAAAGAAATTTTTTAACTGCTGGATTTCTTTATCTGAGTCCAAACTTTTCTAATGTTTGTCCACATCATGCATTAGGAAATGCAGTTAAGGTGATGCTTAGCATCGATTTCAGATGGACCTGAAGACTTTGAGTCTTTTGTTGTTGTTTTTAAAAAGAAGTTTTCAGGTTACATTTTGTAGTTACTTTTCGATGTAGTTTTCTCATGCTTATCTTCTTCATAAAGTATTTTTATGCATTCATCTGCAATCTGTAACTTTTTCATGTCTTCAAACTTGAGTTCAGTTCCCAGCTCTGCTACTTAGTGATTATATAACTTATTTTCAGTTTCCTCACTCGTAAAATGGGCTAATATTTTGACAGCTTGTTTCTTGTTTTTGACAATGCAAGAAAAAATATGCATGAGAAATATAAGCCAGGGTAAGGAAACAATCTCTCAGATCAGTTAATTCAGGCAAATATTTTTTGCTTGAGAATGTGAGCAACATATCAATAGGCCATCATTCTTATGCTACTTATTTTTTAGTTACGGTAGGTGTTTTTACACATACTTTAAACTTACCCTTGGTTTAGAGCTTAAGATTACATTAAGAAAACATTACTTGGAAAATACAGTGACTATATTTCTGAACAAGGTGTTTTTTACCAAGAACAATTTAATCTAATTTCCATTATTCACTCAGTAGCTCCCCAAACTGGTTGAGCTTTTTAATAGTTTATTTAAAGCTAAAGCCCTGTTTACATGTGTACTGTGAAAAATGGTGTCCCATGATCAGATAAGTTTGTGAAATCCTGGACTAAGGCTTAAAACCTATTATTCGAGCCTCTTTACAGTTAAGCTTCTTGGAGCCTTTGATATGCTATTACACAAGAGGTTTTCAAAAAGTTCATGGTAAGATTTCTGTTTTAATTGCTTTTCTGTGAACTTTTTGAAGTACCCTTGTACATTGTGAATCTCCAGTAGCAATGCTGATAGGTTCCCAAACTTAGTGCACAATGGAATTATTTCTACCTAGAGAACCACTAAACATCTCCCAGTGTGCTACAGTGTGTTACATGTCCACTCATGACACCTGACATGTTAAACTTACCCTTGGTTAGACAATGTGTAAAAACATCTAAGGAAACTGTATGCTAAATAATGAAACTTAAAGTAGCACAAGAATGATAACCTATTTGCTGATATGTTGCATATTTTTTTATTTTGTTCACTGCCCAAGGACTAGAACTGTATTTTTTTTTTTAATTTTATTTTGTCGACATGGCTGATATGTTGCATATTTTTTTATTTTGTTCACTGCCCAAGGACTAGAACTGTATTTTTTTAATTTTATTTTGTCGACATACATTGTGGTTGATTATTGTTGCCCCTTACGAAAACCACCCTCCCTCCTCCCTTTCCTCCCTCCCACCCAACAATGTCCTTTCTGTAGAACTGTATTTTTAAGATTGTTTTTCACCGATAATAACTATTAATAAGCAAATTTATCATTACATTTACAAATATATTCACCCATGGGATTAAAAGCTACTCAGTGATGTTACTAAATACTGTCTTGTAAATAAGATACAGTGTTTGAGGGCAAAAGCAAATAGGACTATTAGGATAAAAGGCAAATCTGTTTTCAGCCTTGCTGCTTTAGTCACTAGACTGGTGTCAGCTAGTGGGATGTCAGATCAGTTTTGACTATTGAGTACCAAGTTCTGTCTAGTCTGTGAAATGGAGAATTTGTGACTTCAATATCCTTTGGCTAAGTCTGCAGTTGTCAAGGGGTGAGATTGAAAGAAGTCAAACGCTAATATAAGCGACTAATCGATCTTCCTAGAATTATCTGTTCTGTTTAGGTTGCACGTAATAATAAAAAAAATTAGTGATCATTTTCTCAGTCAAGTTCTCAATGTAAACATGTAACAAGCATATGCCAGTGTGAAATGCTGGAAGGAAAAGTTATTCTCTCATAAAGGATTCATTCCTCTCCCACATTCAACCCCACCAAAATAAGTCCTTTCAGTCATTTCTTGTGGATTTTTCTTTAGGTAGTTCTTTACTCGCTGGATATTTTCAGATATTATAGGTAATGAAACCACAAATGAATATACATGGTTGGCCTATGATTTAGTTATATGGTCCTTGTTTAGGAATTAGGTTCTTTTTCCTCTTTAACAAAAACCTCAGCATCTTTTTATATTTGGAAATATTTTATAGTTTATAAATGACAAAAAAACTTTCAGAAAACGTTCATAGTCAACAATGTATTTTATTATACATCTTAGATTTATACATTTCATATATGCTTTTAAAGCTTCAATTAATAGTTCAATACACAATTAAAAAATATATATGCAGCAGTGGTTCTCAGGCACAGAATTTAGGAGGAGATTGGAACAAGTCTTTTCTCTAGCATACAGTGAACATTATGAACCATGAGAGTGAAATGTTTCCTTCTGACCTAGCTGCCTTTTTGATTAACTTTTATTATAGTGAACAGCTTTAATAGGCAGGATATTGCTAATTCGAAACAATGAAATTTAAAATAAGTTGATAACCTGTATTTTCTTGAAGTCTTTCAGACCTAGATGATTATTTTTCTCCTAACGGAACTCCAGGATAATCCAATGAAAATAACATTGTCCATAAAACATCTGGAGCATCTGCCTAAGAACACACTGCCCATGGTTATTCAATGTCTTCGGGCCTCACAGGATGAGGTAATGGTATGATGGATTTCTTCTCGGTGTCCCTGGAAAGTGCTTTCCTCATATCTGTTAGGAAGCAAAGTTTAAGGTAAACACCCAAATATCAAAATATTTTATATCAAATTTAAAGTGTATAGGTAAAGTTCCCATAAGGGGTTTTGTCCCCTACGCCCACTTCTACCAGATCCTAAGCAAAATGTATTTATAAATGAGACTCCCAATTGCACGTATACCCGATGCTAACCAAACCCTATCCAGGATTCAGCTCATCATATAAATAACATGCCAGTAACACAGTAAAATAATAACTTACAGAAATTAACCATTGGTTAGTTCACATAATTTAATTATGAATAGGTTTGCAAAAGCAGGTTAAAGGAGATTTAAATATTAAGGCTAAATAAGATTCTTTTAATTTTGTTAAGATAATTGATTATTTCAATCTGTAGAATGAATGCAACTGTTTTCTGCTTCCTCTTGAGGGTACTGACACAGAAAAGAGCTTACCATAAGCATCTTCATCAGGCTCCCCGTTGCTGGCTGAATAATACTCTATGACTGTCCTGTACACACTGTAGCCCAGCTGCTTGTACATGTTGACTGCAACTTGGTTAGATACTCTTACAAAGAGGTCAACAAAAAATCCACCTTTTCTTTAAAAAAATAAATAAATAAGTAAAATGTTAGAATGTGAGAGACCTAGAAAGTAATAGACACGTAATTTTTTTTTTTTTTTTTTTTTTTCTTTTTCGTGACCGGTAAGGAAATTGCAACCCTTGGCTTGGTGTCACCCGCACCGCGCTCAGCCAGTGAGCGCACCGGCCATTCCTATATAGGATCTGAACGACTGGTAAGGGGATCACAACCCTCGGTGTGGTGTCACCCGCACCGCGCTCAGCCAGTGAGCGCACCGGCCATTCCTATATAGGATCTGAACTCGCGGCAGGAGCGTCGCTGTGCTCCCAAGCGCCGCACTCTCCCGAGTGCGCCACGGGGCCGGCCCTAGACACGTAATTTTTAAAAACACTTGTTTTACTTTGCTTTGACTACTACTCATAGAATGGTAGTAATAGGACCATACAGTTGATTACATCATAGTAGCATTTTTATTACTTAGGATTTATAACAATTATTTTGCAGTATAAAAAGAAGACTTTGTGTGCCAGTATTTCAAAAGCTACAATACATGTTTTCTTAAAAGATAATCAAAGCATACAGTGTA